CCCTCCAAATTCGCTCTTCAGTAAGGTCGTTACGGTACACGATCCACCGAAGACCCGCACTGAGCTCGACCAATGCAAATCTTTCCGGACAAATTTTTTGATGCCGTCCACGTGAGTGGCCACTATGAATTTTGCTTGCGAAATGAAATGTGGTCTTTAATACTGAATTGGGACCATTCGGTTTGAATTTGAAGCAAGAGTGTCGGATTAAATCCTATCTAAATGTGGAACAAGGATTTATGTGCCTTTTTTTATTGCCCCCCTGTAGATCCCCTCTTTGCAGGCCACGTTGGACCCTGCGGGGGATGTGTCTCCCGCACCCATTTCACCATTTTTTGCAGATCAGTCAAATTTTCGCACTCTTGACGCAAATTCTTTGAACTTTCCAATTAGCCTTCAAAATCGTTAACTCCCTAAGCCAAGGAAGTAACAATTGTGAATGCATTTTGCCATAATTGGCCAAACGTTCAGAACCGATAATTTTTCCATATCTTAATGAAGTTCCAACTTTTTAAATTTAGTAGAAAAACGTATACGAACGCTCTTCAACAAAGTCTTTAATTCGATCCTTTTTGTAACCCTAAATAGGCGTTTACTCAATCGAAACTTTCAATGGAGGGACCACTTTGTTTGTGCTTTTATCCTGTAGGCCAATACACTATGGTTAGTACCAATGCTTATCTAAAGTTCCAAACGGGGTCTGTTGACCCGTGCAGGGATATGTATACTGCGAAAAATGGGGTCGCAAAATTGCGTCGGTCCCACATGACCAAAAGAACACCAAAAGCTCGACGTAAGCAAACCAGCCCTTTTGGCGCTTCGGCTGGGACCGTATGCTGAATGTTGGGGAGGGGATGGAGTCCCCGACGGTGGACGGACCACTTCAACTCGGTCCTTAGAACCGCCACAATTTGGTGCTTACCTCAGAACTAAGCCTTAAAGAGAGGACGGGTCCGTCCCCTCTCCAAGGCTTAGTCCTGGGGTGAGCAAACCAGCCCTTCTGGCGGAGCTGCTGGACCAGCTGCACCACTTGCGTCAGTACTCTCCTATCGTACCAACCGAGTTGAAGTAAACCGTCGACCGTTGGGGACCCCATCCCCTCCCCAACATTCAGCATACGGTCCCAGCCGAAACGCCAAAAGGGCTGGTTTGCTTACCTCCAAAGCTGACTTTCGTTCGATGTGTTAAAATAGGATCACGTCGGCTTCCCAAACATTAGCGTTCCCATTTCGAAAAAATGTACTGCCGAGAGGTGAAAAAAAACAGTGACACTGTTAGAAAAGCATCAAAAACGAATCTAAGGCTTACTGTCCATTACGAGGCACAACCGTCAAAGTGTGAACCTAGGAAAAGATGGGCAAAAATTTCAAATGGCGTCACAATACGCCACATACAGATCTAAGCAAATATCGCTAAAGCGTTGGTATATTTTTTCGCACCCAAAATGGATAATTCTTAACTAGACTTGCGGTCTATAACGCACTTTGCCGGCAATCTTTGCGGAGCGTGGCCTGATTCACTTTACGCTCGGCAGTTTTCAGTTGGAGAAGACTTGAAAGAAGAGGAACGTCACATTATCAAACTGTTTTTACGAGAATTCTCACACATTGCTCTTTTCTCCCTAGTGACATTATATTTTTAAAACAGTGAAAAAATTAAAAAAAACTAGATGAGGGTCTGCTTTTGCCAAATGGATACAGGTAACTCATGGTGAGAGGAATCAGATGACCAGATGATACTGGGAAATTTTGCTGTGCTTTTCCCGAAAATGCAAAATTTTAGGATGACCTTTCAGCGGCACTGTGAACAGGAACCACTTTTCCTTCACCGTTCGAAAAAATTACAATCAACAGTTGCAACTATCGACTTTTGAGCCAGCCAGCCTTCACTGCCCCTCAATTAATCGACACTTTCCTACTCGGAGACTTTCCCTCAACACTTAAACCTCTCCAATAACAGTTCACAGCGATTGAAAGCAATGAGGAGCCCATTTGATCTCGGCACCTGCGTCCGCGCTTTTCAAGCAGCGCCACGTGGCAACCGACAGCGGAAGGCGGGGCTTGCGGACGAAGGTGTGTGATTGCGGGTCGGACGAGCTTCTAGCGCCTTTGTCGCGCACTTCAAGCCGCAAAAGGGGCGCGACATCAACGCTTGTCCACCTGTCTTCTACTACGCTCGGGGAAAGAACAGGTGAGCGCGTTTGGTCCCAGACCGTGCTTTTCAGCGCTAATGAACGCGCTGTCCGTGTCCCGTCTCATCTTAGCCGTAAAACCTGTTTGCTTGTTTGAATACTTTCACAGTGTTGATAGAATTTTTATAGACCTCCTCACCAGAGACGGATGTCGATCTTATTCCCGAGGTCCGGAGACTTCAAGGAAGGCGAATTAGGCGAGAGTTTCAATATATGCCTAGACCCGAAGAGGGAGATGTGTAAAACCGATACACTTCTTCAACCCCAATGCTAAAAATACTGACTGCTTAACTTTCACTGTGATTTAATCTTATCAGTTGGAAGCTGTACTTTTCTTAACACAAAGCCTCCACAATGAGCCGAGAAATGAAATGAAATGTCACCACGGCTGATACATACAGAAGAATGTTGTAATAGAAACGAAATTATATACTAGGTTGGCCATAGTTAGTGAATCACCTTACATTTATTGCTGTAAAAACTCCTAGTATAGTTGAAGGCGTGAAACATGGCTCATTTGCACGCTGCCTTTCGTGGCTACTCTTTTTTGGGACTCGAATATGCCCTTTTTTTAAAGACCGATTAGGGCCTTTCGAAGGTCAGGCTGGGCAAAATTTCATAAGAAAAAGCATAAGAACACGCTTTCTCAAACCCGGTGCACTGCTGTTACATTCTACTCCAGGTTGCCTTTTTTGAATAAAATGAATCACACACCAGCCACCCCACAATTTTCACCTTGAGGCTCTGCCTGACGCCGTCAAAAAGGAAGCTTTGCAGACTTGCTGTTACTTACTGGAGCGCTTGTAATGTGATGAAGTGACAGTAGCGAGACCATCAGTGTTAAAGATTGTACACTATGAAGTTTGAACCCTGCATGCCCCAAAGCTAAATTAAACTCAAATCCGATCTGACGTCATTTCCCGTTGTGTTCTGCATGTCTTGCAACTGACCATGCAGCATGATTAGTGATGTGGAATGGTGCAGTGTTCTAACAAAATCCACACGCGGTAGTTGCCTAGCTTCAACGACACAGGAGCTCTGAGAGTGAAAGCTCCATGTCCTCCGATTTCGATCCCTCCGAATTGTATATAAAATACGACAAGCACCGCCACCCGTAATACCTGAGTCGATGACGACCATTGAAATAAAAGCAAAGCAAGACAGAGATTGATCTTCTGATGCCGCTCGACCGCCTTGCGGAAAACTGGTAAAAAAAATTGGATGCTATAGTGCTGACAGTTCGTTCAGCTCCACTGTATAGCGCTAAGCTCGCGCCAAAATACGACTGCCACCTCACTTCTCTAGCACCCTTCCTCATGAAAGAATTTCCCGCTAACCACAAGCATGATCTCAAAACAAGCATCCGATCATTCTCCGATCAGATTCCTATGGAATTTCGCGATAAATGCAACGATCAACTCCCAGTGCGTAGGCAACAATTTGTAAACAATGGTAATGTATGTTTCAAAGGCAATAAAATAAAAATAAAATCCAAAAATAGCCAAATGACCCACTTTGTTTTTAACAAAACAACCTAATTATAGTAAACCAAAGGAAGAAAGAGAGGAAAAAACATGTGTGTCACGAGATTTTGGATTGGCGTAGACGTCTCTCAATTTTTATGAACGGTTTGAACAATCTTAGCTGCTACTATGAACAATGCACGCGATTCCTGGGCTATAACTTCCATTGTCGCATTCCTTGCTGGTATCCCTTCCTATACCATTGCGCTCCCACTCCTAGGGTCCTGCTGGGATATTCCCAACCAGGGGAAGTGAAGGTTTGGATTTGTCATTCTAGGGCAGAGTTGTATATTTAGGGGAAATGGGAAGAGCAGTTTATTGGAAAAAACAGGGCACTTTTTTAGAAAATAAGAAGATTTCGAAAACTTTGCTCTTCAGCAATTATGAGTTAACTCCTTCCAATGCACGCAGGGATCTGGATCTACCCCTCCCTCGATACACGATAATGAAGGCAAATTTTTTTGAAGGCGGCCAACATGAACCAGGCAATGACAATATGGACGTGGTCGATCGTTAGAGGAAGTGGTGTTGCGAAATGCTCCGGTGGTGGATGGTCGAATTCCAACAATTTTTTCACAACTTGACGTCGACATTGTTTTAGCACTACGCCACCCGTACAACTTAAGATACAGACAACACCAACCTCATCAAAATCAGGATTCAGAAGAACTGCTTCGCGTCGTTCAGTCTCAATCCATTCCAAAACCTTAAAAGAAGAATCACAGAAGATAACTGCAATGTTCTAAACAGCACTTTAAACCATGAGCACTTTGTCTCGGTGACTTGCATCAACATGTTTATGAAAAATCGACAAGTCTTCCTGCTCAGTATGACCTCTTTGATTTAATCCTGACTGTCGGTCTGATGAAACACTCCGCTTTACATTTTGATGATGGTTACGATAGCACAAACAAGTTCATGTGTGTCCCTTTAGTAGTTAACATTTTACTTCACGATTTTTAAAAAAGAAGTAAGGATGGCATACTTTCTAAAGTTCATTCTGTAATCCACATATATCCATTCTTGCCACGCTGAACTTGCCGAGATTTGATAACTTGAATGTAATATCTTGGAATTATAATGGCATGGGTCGTAAAATTGATGCACCTACTGGGAAAGATTCCCAGGTATTCAGGTTCGCTGATCAACTATTACTTTCAGCCACGCTACCAGTGCCCTCGTTCCGCCTAGTAAATCAGTCAACTAATTAGTCATCGGTTTACGAACACAGAAAAAATGATGTTTTTCGCTTGATGACAACTATGAAAAACTGAATCTTTACATACCTCCGCACTAGACATAGTACGCTTGTTATCCTTTTCGAGCTCTATCCAACGCCTAACAATCTTCTCATCATTTTCAAATAATTTGCCAACAACAGTCCGATGGCAGCCATTTCTCCTTAAAAGGACGTATAACACTCACACGTCTGAATGATCAGAATTTTCTGTAGATGCAGGATTAAAACAGCATCGCAAGGCGATTAAGATTAGAATCGCAACTAGGAAGAGCGGTAAATATTTGGTGAAGGGAACAAAATTTCTACGAAAGCATGAAAACCGATGTAAAAGAGATATGGCTCAACCGTCCGCTTTAGCATGTATAGCAAAGGGGTAAGAGGAAGTGAAACGGGGGAGTGAAACGCAGAGACGAGCGAGCACAATTCAAAAATCTCGAGGCATGGCAACTTCTAACCACAGCGCATCGCGCATCTCATAGCAGGAATTGTTGGCGCAAAACCCTGTTCTTCGTTGTTCCTGTGATCATGGGAGAACACCCTTTCAGAGCGAATCAATGCTTCTGGGCGCCCAATGTGAAAGAAAAAGCAAAAATCCAGCAGTTTCACCTCTGAAACCTAATAGAAATTTGTCGAAGGAAAGGTTTTCAACACAACGATTTCCACGAGGAATCAGTATACATCAGAAAACACTGATCTTGTAGTATTCCAAGGTTCACTGCTCTGCATGGAAACACAACTGAATGAAGCTTTGACTACTAAATTCACAATCAGGAGAATAGCTTGAAAATCTCAGCGTGGAGAAAGAGAAGCGGGACTATTTTCGATGAGCACGTTTCAGAGCATTTTTCATAACATTTGAAAACATCTAATCTCATGGTATACTTTTAGAGGTTCGCAAAAAATTGACTTTCAAGTAATACGCTAGTATTGGAAGGTGGAAATTCGCAGGTGCCGAAAAAAAAACATCGCTTAGGCGTCTTGAGGAGTTCAAAAATTCACAATAGTTCTAACACTATTTAGACAGAATAACTTCAGTGTTGTCTACTTTAAGCACCTCATGGCATAAGACTGTATTAGATAGTTGTGACATTCTTAGAAAAGAGGCAATTACTCCACAATTATGCGTAAAGTTATAGTGAAACGACGGAAGAAGAAAAGAAATGAAAAAAGATTGCAACGGAACTAATCAAATACGAAATTTATCTGCAAAACCGGAAAGTGACCAACTTGTAATAAAGTTGACAGACAGCGCAGTACTTGGGCGGCCGTTGCTTTCCTTCCCACAAATATTTCGTACAGTTTGCGCACTCATAACGAGGCACTTGAACGACGGTAGCATTTGTCAGTCTGAAAATAGACAGTGAACCTTTTTTGCGAGTGTGTAGTAAGTCAAACTTTGAGACTCACGTTTCTCTGCACAAACAACGAGTGTAACGCTCATGAACGCATGCTCGTCGTTTTGACTGATAGTAGTACTGAATAATTTCTCCCAAATAGTATTGTCTCATCTGAAATAGAAATGCTAAGAAGGTACACAGGCTAGAACGGCATGACACACAATGACTCACAAATTTATCCTGAATGGCACCAAAATTTTTCCCTTTTAAATCACGGAGAACTCGTTCAAACTCTTTCTGCTGGGCGATATTGAGTCTAGAAATATAAAATTTGAATGCATGCAATAACGCAAGTGAAGAACAAAAAGCTTATTAGTGAAAAACTCGCATAAAAAGCGTGAGTTATTTCATGGTGGATCTGAGAAAAGAAACACTCAGAATCTCGAATGGTCCCAGAGGTAGTATCAAGAGACTGAAAAATACTCATAATAGACTAGAACGTACTCTTCGAAAGGTTGGGATAAATTCTTCCACTGCTCCATCTCGATATTCTCCAGCATCTCATCTATACTATAGTTATGCTTCATCAAACTGTACAACATCTAAAATACGAGAGCAGTTAACCTTCCGGAGTAATGCTTAAAAGCTTGTCATCTCGAAGAAAGCCCGCCGATAAGACATAATGACAAATCGTACCGAATCTAATCCAATCTTCTCCCCGTATTGGCAACGTATAGCGGCCCAAGCATCATCAAGTTCTTTGTTGGAGTACGAGGTGCTACCGCTGGGTTCATGGTGCCATATCTAAAAAGAAGGAGCTACAAGGTTAACTAAGCAACCTTCACTTCTGCGATAAAGGCCTATGGATGTGCATAAAGCAATCTGAGCACCTTTGGTGCACGTTTCGTTGTTAGCATCACAAGAGCTGACATGTTCCTTACCACCACATCGTTGTTTTACAGGGGTCTTTCTCACAAATAAAAACTATCCATTAAAAAATCCTAGTCTCCATTTAACACATTCCCGACGCATATTTTTATACACACACTGAAAAAATATCCACAGCTAAGCATTTTTTCTTAGGGGCACAAACTAGGATCAGCGCAAAAAGCCTACTCGGTTCGTTTTAGCGCTGCAAAAATACACCATGAGCAACAAATCTAACCGACAACTGCAACGAGTAACACATTGCTCTCTTTCTCCGAAGCTGCACCGGGGTGCTTTCGTGAAAATGACAATGTACGCCATTGTGCTCTCTGTTGTACTCTCGCGCCTATCCCCCTATCCATTCTACGTGCTTGATCGCTCACTGCTTCGGAACGAAGTGAGCAAGCCACTAACTTTAGGGTTTTCGACGGATGTTTTTCTTTGATACCGGCTCACTTCGCACCAATGCCTTAATTTTCACGTACGAAAACCACACCAATTTGATTCTGGAACGTGACCTCAACTGTAACCACTTTTCGAATATGGTTTCAGATTTGGGTCACAAACAATTGCACAAAAAATATACTGGCGTAAAGAGTAAACTTTCAAAAGAAGCCAACGGAATCTTACACTACTAACCGGTTCTTCCCTATCTGGCTCCTCGTCGACACTCGAAATCGAAGGAGCTACAAATTCACTGGCGTAAAACGGTTCGAATGTTGCCTGAAATCCTATTCTGAGACAAGAAGTAACTTTTGGAAAATCGGCGCACATGTTGTTAAAGAAGACATTCAAAACAAATCCAATGGTAAGTGACACTAGGACTAGGACTAAGCCAAGAAGAGGGAAGAAACTTCAGGGAGAAAACAAACACCACCCGCAGACTCTCCGCTGAGAATAAGTCCCAAGTACTGTGTATGCCTCACTCACTTGAATGTCCACCATTCCCCCTCCCCACCCAAAGACATGAGCGCCGAAAAATCTAAGTAGAACTGCGTTTGCTGGGCCTGTGGTACCCTTCAACTTCGATTGGGTTGCAAAACGTCAAACCGTATCTAGTGCTGCAAAGCCAACTTATAAAGGAAGCGATTACGATAAGGAATTTTCGCATCGGGGGAGAACCTGCGCCACACGGAGCAATTACTTGGCTGCCAAGGAAGCGATGTGTGGCGCTTCCACGGCGAAAGGTGCTGTGGTTGCTGAGCAGGACCTCCGCAGCACTCCGCCCCCAGCAGCGTAACGCCTGTTACGAGGAATGGTCAATTGGTCAGTCCGGCCGTTTGAAATGAGATGTAGTCCAATGGACGCGTCTTGCGACGCTGAGCTCAAATCCGTTTTCGTTATCTGCGGAACGATTCTCTGAGAGAAGTTAGGGGGGATTTTTCTCTTTGTGACTTTCCCACTGTGGCACCCTCTACATCACCTTAGCTCTTTCTTTATTTCCTGTGCAACTGCGAAAGCTGTTTTGTTTTGATCACCATGTGAAGAACTATCACATATGCTCACGAATTATTGAAATTTTGTATATTTACGAGCCTGTGTCCTTGTGTTTTGTCCCGTGTGTCAAAGTTCATCATAATAGAAAACCTAAAAAGACGGACGAGAGGAAAATTCCAAAGTCTGTCTCAGCCACATGTCAAGTGGGGACGCAAATCAACAAAATAACCAAATATAGACACTTTTTGGGCTCGTATGAGAAGCCATGAAAAAATGCAAAAACTTTGCGGTTCTATGGATCCGATCCTGTGACCTATCCCGTATGAGTCTAGGAAGATATCCATTAGGCCACTTTGCCAACTGTGTGAGATGCTCTCTGGCTCTTCTTATGCGAACCATGTAGGACAGGGGAATGTAGAGGATGCCACAGTGAAAAAAGCCATAGTGAGAAGATCCCCCTCGTAACTTCTTTCAGAGAATCGTTCCGCAGATAACGAAAACGGATTTGAGCTCAGCGTCGCAAGACGCGTCCATTGGACTACATCTCATTATAAATGGCCGGACTGACCAGTTGAGCATTCCTCGTCAGTACTCCGTTGGTGTCGTCTGTTGCTGTTGAGCTTTTCATTTGGGGAATCGTTCCATTATAATTGGCCCCCGCTATCTCCCTTTGCCCTGTAATCTTCATCAAGTACACACCCATGTTGTTGGCATGACGTCGCTCATCGGTAGTAAAATGAAAGGGCAATCAAAGGGGTACTATTTTGCTTTTTTTGACGGATTTCTTTGCTTTTTTCGCCATTGGCGTACTATTGAGACCCTCACGTCCCCTCTAAACCCCTTGAGATCTATCGTAATCGCTGCCTTTAAGGTCACAGCTATACGAATACTCTGAGAATCTCACAGCAGGAAACATGGGATATTTGGATATAAATATCAGGTTGGAACATGATATCGCAGCGCTCTTTTTCGAGCAGATAATTCAATGAATGCAAGTACTACACGGAAAACGGCGTATATCACGTGAAGGCACTTTATATGACCCAACAATACCTTCTTCGTCATTTTCTTCAGTATTATGACGGACCCAGACACGTTTATGCTTTGAAGTTGGAAGTCCAAGCGACAGAAACCGACGTTTCGCCAGCTGCTATTCATTGACAAGCATATGGGCAAAAGTGTCAAAAAACGGAAGCTCTTCAGAATCCATCATTCTTATCGAACTAGGCTCCAACCGACCACATCATTTTCGCTTGATTTAAAACCAGATTTGTTAACAAAACGAGAAAGAGGACTTGGAAAAAAGGCTGAATAACTTTTTTTTATTCCACTCATGATTTGATATTAAAAATTGCGAAATGGAATCGAAATTGTGAATGACAGAGAGAACATTACTCATTAGTTTTATCTTCCTACTATTCACTTCAAACGTTCACGCCAAAGTAAGAGCTACGATATAATGTTCCAACCCAATATTTGGTTTTCTACTTTATTTCAAAAGTTCTACTCGTGCTCCTGCTTGGAGCACTTCGATCCATTCATCAACACTTCTCTAGCATGAAGTAGAGGTAAACATAAAGGAAAACAATCGAAACGAGAACAACCGGAATTATGGCTAAATTCTGTGGTACTATAGACACGCCAAACGCGCATAAGTTGCTCCTGCGTGCTCTGTTGGCTTCAGTGCTTTGCACTCTTATCCCGCTCATTTCGCCATGAAACGTACGTTGGTGTGCAAGCAAGAACGAGCCGATGTTTATTCGCGTATTTGAGAAGGCGTTCAGAACAAATAGGCCGTTCGGATGATACTCTACTATTCTTGGAGCCAAAAGACACGTGATAACATGAGGCAACATTCCGTTCCTGGTTGTTTCAGCGCTTTTCGCAGAGCAGTGGGGCGAAAGTGAGAGCAGATTTTTACTCTTAAGTAGTGTAAGAGGCACATCACTAAGAAAAAATTCGCTGAGTAAGGGCTGATAAGGCGGATGACGTGGAGCGCGAAGCGTGCGTGTTAGAACGCCAACCTCGTTCGTCCGATTCCAGTTACCTGACGAATTTGTTCTCGGGCGCCTATTGCGCCGTGAGTGTCAACGCGGATGCGTGGGTGGTGTTCGTCGGAGAGGTTCCAGACAGAGGAAGCATATTAGACGATTGACGAGGCTGGATGCCTCGGTCGTGGACCAACCCGTATCTATTTGCAGACGCACTTATCCGCCATGATGTGCTTCTCCTTCAGCCGCTTGTGTTTGGGGCGTGGAGGTGCTGGCATCACATTTGGTATTCTTTTAGCACCTCTTGGTGGCTGCACTATACGAGCTGAAATATAGTATTTGAACAAGACCTCCTGAAACCTAGAACAAGGAAAGCATTTCCAATATTTTGCCGAAGCTGAACTTCTCTTTTCATACTACACCTCAAATTTTTCTTCTGCAACCTACTTCCCAGAGTGGCTTTCCACTGCACTGACTGCCTTGGGAAAAAGTGGAACAAGTAGAGTGGTAAGCCCAATAACTGTCACTGCGAAACAGGGTTATGAGACAGATTTAGTACCGCGCTGCGTGGCTACGGTTCGCTAACTTAGCTATACGACGACCGCTGGAATCACTAGCGACTAGGGCGGCCCAAATTGAAAGCGCTCTGCGCACTCAGAGCCCATTAAATATGCCCAGTCAGCCTGCACCTGCACAGTACTGCACGGTTCCGCGCTTACTCGTATTTGAAGCCTACTACACAACCAACGAAAACGTGTCTGACTGCTTCAAACTGTTTCTGCACTCCTTTTGTCATCAGCATATTAACACATTCACGACGACGCCCCTTTTCCACTTTTCGGTCGCGTGGGACGGACGCGATTTTGTGGGCGCCGCCGCCTCACCACATAACCGCAGATTTTGTTTTGTAAATGAACAAAAACATGAATGTCACAAAATAATTTCTGCAATGTCCAATGCGTAAACAGTAGGATTTCGATCAGAACGACAAATAGTGGTTACGAAAAGAGAGCATTTATTCACTTTCCCCGTGAAGGAATTTAAAAGCATTTTACACTCGATTACGAGGTTTGCCCACCTATCTGTCCATTCCTAGCGCCTGGCAAGCGATTATCAGTTGGCAGCCCATATGGGCTGCCATCGTCCCAGGAGCGCATGTTGTTGGCAGCCCATATGGGCGGCCATCGGCGTGAATGTTAAGTATCTATACAGTACGATGATAGCGGGCGATAGCTGTGGTAGATAGACCGAGGACTGTCATGTCGTATCCACATAAGCAGGTAACATTATCTTCCTGTTATCGTGAATAGGCTTTAAAAAATGTTTGCATAGTCATATACCAACAGTATTGTTCGCTAGGCTCCCTTCGCCTTCACCATGGTACGTGGTAGCGGTCACAACTACGAACCAGTACCAATGACTTACCTACTATAGACACACACGCGCAATTGCATAACCTGCAGCAACACAACTGAGAGAGGAAGGAAACTCACGTTGCTTCAATCGCTTGGAGTCCACATAGTTGTCAACAAAATCGGCCGCGGACGGATCACAAGTCCTCGTTATCCTAGAAGATA